CTGTGTTTGTCTGCTTGTCTGCCTGTCTGTGTTTGTCTGCTTGTCTGCCTGTCTGCACAGCTGTCTGCTACCAATGACTTAACAGTCTGGTAACCATTTGGTCAGAGTACTGGACTTGTTAATGTGTTCAACCCCCTGTCAGTCTAAGGTTTGAACCTTTTACTAGAGGAGCTCTTTTTGATATATATATATATATATATATATATATATATATATATATATATATATATATATATATATATTATTAAATATGACCGAAAAAGTAAGATTAATAATTCTAACACGAATTTTCTCAATCTTTCGTACATTACGCTTCACTGTTGGAGGTAAATCAAAATCACTTCTCCAAAATTCATTTTTATTTCTAGTCTGACGCGACACGGGCGCGTTTCGTAAAACTTATTACATTTTCAAAGACTTCAGAAATACACAACTGATTAGAACTTGCGTTTCCCTGATTTTATATCTACATTTGAGTGAGGTGGGAAGGGTGATGTGGCATTACATTTGAGTAAGGTGGGAAGGATGATGTGGCATTAGAGGATATTAATAGGGTATTAAAAGTATCAACACAAGACAGAACACGAAACAATGGATATTGAATAGAAGTGTTTGTAGAAAGCCTATAGGTCCATATTTCTTGATGCTTCTATATTGGAGCGGAGTCTTGAGGTGGGTAGAATATAGTTGTGCAATAATTGGCTGTTGATTGCTGGTGTTGACTTCTTCAACAGCCAATTATTGCACAACTATATTCTACCCACCTCAAGACTCCGCTCCAATATAGAAGCATCAAGAAATATGGACCTATAGGCTTTCTACAAACACTTCTATTCAATATCCATTGTTTCGTGTTCTGTCTTGTGTTGATACTTTTAATACCCTATTAATATCCTCTAATGCCACATCATCCTTCCCACCTTACTCAAATGTAATGCCACATCACCCTTCCCACCTCACTCAAATGTAGATATAAAATCAGGGAAACGCAAGTTCTAATCAGTTGTGTATTTGTGAAGTCTTTGAAAATGTAATAAGTTTTACGAAACGCGCCCGTGTCGCGTCAGACTAGAAATAAAAATGAATTTTGGAGAAGTGATTTTTGATTTACCTCCAACAGTGAAGCATAATGTACGAAAGATTGAGAAAATTCGTGTTAGAATTATTAATCTTACTTTTTCGGTCATATTTAATAAAATATGTCTACAGGAAAGACTGCTACCAAAATATACTAATATATATATATATATATATATATATATATATATATATATATATATATATATATATATATAATATATAATATATATATATATATATTATATATATATTATATAAAATATATATATATATATATATATATATATATATATATATATATATATATATATATATATATATATATATATATATATATATAAACTACACTCAAGCACCACCACAACAACCACCAAAAGCACCACAAGCACCACAAGCACCACAACAACAACCACCACCACTACACCACCACAAGCACCACCACAACCACCACCACCACTACACCACCACAAGCACCACCACCACCACCACCACCACCTCCACCACTACACCACCACAAGCACCACAAACACCAACAACACCACCACCACCACCACCACCACAAGCACCAACAACACCACCACCACTACACCACCACAAGCACCACCACAACCACCACCACCACTACACCAGACTTGTAACAGACATTCCTAAGGACTCTTCCACTTCCAATTTTCTACTTTAACCTCACCCAAGGATCGGAATCCGATGATGCTCTTATTCTCTTCCATTCTTTCCCTCTCTTCGTCTTACCTTTTCCGTCCTCCATTCCCTGAGGAAAGGGAGGCAGGAAAGATTGGCAAGAAATTCAGCAATTAATGAACATCGCCTTCCATCAGTCGTGGGGGTACAGGGGTTTAAAATACAGCTGAAAGGGCAAGGAGGAGAGGCTGTATCAACTCACAAGACCACATGTAATAGTCGGTACAGCGCCGGTCTCGCTTCTTGCAGGTCGGCGTTCGATCCCCGATCATCCAGGTAGTTGGCTAACATTCCTTCCCCCGTCCCATCCCAAATCCTTATCCTGACCCCTTTCCCAGTGGAATGGCTTGGCGATTTTCCCTCTGATGATTCCCTTCCTCAAATCTCCTACCCACCCACTCATTTTCTCCCTTCCAACTTACTCCTGCCACGTTGACCAGACCACACACTAGAAGGTGAAGGGACGACGACGTTTCGGTCCGTCCTGGACCATTCTCGAGTCAATTGAGAATGTCATCCCTCTCCATCCCTGCCATCCCTCTCCCTCCTGCCATCCCTCTCCATGCAGCTGCCCACCAATATATTGCTATGCACTGCCATGCTCCTGCAGCCCCCAAACTTGCAGGCCCTCAAGTTTGAGGCAGAACAACAAGTCGGAGGCAGGAACAACAGTGCCTGGCCCTTGCATCAGAGTCACCGCTGATGAATATCAAACAGTGCC